TGCCATTTGGTAAAAGTCTTAAGGTTGTAAAAAAGATTAAAATGAAGATAGCATGAAGAAAAAGGGGAAATGTCCAGGTGTATTGAAATGCCTTAATAATTACAAATGAGAGCTTTTATTGTTTGTTAATTGAGGATAACACTTCATTTTTTTATTGTCAGAAAACTAGCTCGATGTATTTTTTATTTTTATTTTTGGCGGGCTCAGTCTGCCGAAAGGGAGGGTCTGGTGTGGCATGTTGAGCTGGGGATCAAACTGTAGACTCCCGTGCTTGATTAGGTTCGCCCAACCAGGCACTTAAATGACTGAGCTAACTGGCAAGCCCCTACTAGTTCAATTCAAACATTCCATAATTTGTATGTAATTTATACAAATTCTTTGTGGTGCTGGGCATTGAACCCAGGATCTTTCCATTGAGCTACATCTGTTGCCCTTTTTAATGAAATGTACTGGTTCATGTGTATGAGACATAATAATTATACTCAATTTGGGGACTTGATACACGCATCATAATTGTACTTCCCCTTCCTCTCTGCCTTCCTCCATTCCTGTTTCCCTTACATTCCTAATGTTTCATATGACAGAGCCACTACTGGTCTAACAATCTTTGTCTTTCTGTCTTGTTTTTGCTGAGGTAGCTTATATAAATAAAGTTGGGAAGACCTGTTGGCTAAGTGCATATATTCATTCATTCATTCTTTCATTCATTATTGATGGAATCTCATGTTGTTCAGTCTGGCCTGTATGTCCCTGGGCTCAAAAGGATTCTACCACCTCAGCCTTTCAAGTAGCTTCGGCTACCTACAGGCATGTGCCACGTCTGGCCAATGGAGTACAGACTTTATTGACATTCTCATGCTGTAAATATAAAAGCAGACTTCACCTGTGAAGGTTAAGAGGCGGATAGGAACAGCATGGCTTGTGGAGAATGTAAAAAATAATTTTACTGTGTGGATCCAGGATATCAAGAAATAAGACAAAGGAGCGCTGAACCTGTGGAGAGGCTTTGAAGTAGCCAGAGGCTAGATGCAGACTTTAATGTGCACACAGGGAGTTTTGATCTTGGTAGTTGGATGCTTACATTGGATCTTTTATTTGATACTTTTAAGTGTGCAGTAAGCTTTTAATTGCTACAGTTTGGGCAAAAGACTTGAAGCCTTAGGGCACATGAAATTTTGATCCGAAATTTGAAATAGCTTTGTCTATAGCAAAATAAGTTAATTCTACAAAGAGTGCAGTGCGGAGTTACGGGTGCACACCTCAACTAGAAAGGTGTGGTGTTAGGGTGATGATACAGACCTGGACTGATCACAGGCACAGAATGTAGGCGTAGGGCTGGCCTCTGGGATGAGCTCAAGCTGTCAGCCAAGGTGAGTCTTAGCAAGCTACACTGGCTGTGCTTCGATCAGGAAAGGACAGTGTGACTAGGCAGCCGCAGGTGCCGGCTGCTGTGGATTGACGATCTGCATTAAATAGGCACGTGTGAACAGTATGATCTCATCAAATGCTGCATAGACTGGAAGAACCTCATTTGTGGCAAGGATTTAAAATAGAAAAATAGTTCAATGATAAAATAGTTTCAGGTAATGCTAGATGTTAATAACTATTGATATTTGCTATTTTTAATATTGAAGATCAATGTAGGCAATACAGATCTAGAAAAGCTTAAGGTCTAAATGCATACCATTCATTGAATGGCAGTGCTGAAGATAAAACTTTTGAATATAAAGAGATTAGGATATTCTAGATGGCAAAGCTGAGAACCAAGTTGGAAGATTATTGATTGGTTTTGGTAACCCTGAAAATTCTACCCTTCCCACTGGGGACTGAAATACCACCATCTGATGGAGAAGGTACATCCCTGCCCTGTATCGCATACACAATGGTAAATTAACTCCCTGTGGACAGATGTCTCCCTATTTAAGTGTGCAGGTGATATAAATAGTGCTCTGAAGAGGCTAGAGTCACCACTATCACAGATTCATGAATTTCTAGAGTTTTTGCAATATGTTTTATTTGGCAATAGCAACCACTAGATTCCAAGAGCATAATTTTGTACACAGTAACTGCCTTCTCTTTTGGGAAGTATGAGGCAAGTGTGATTACTTTAGATGTCTTATTAACTCTCCAGATCTTTTATAAATCAAGGCACACCATAGATTTAATGTTGAATTCATTTGACTTTTGAGCTCAATTAGTCATGCCCATTTTTAAAATGAATTTATGTATTTGAAATAGGGTCTTGCTACACAGCTCAGACTCTTAGTGATCCTCCTGTCAGCCTCCCCAGCACTGGGATTACAGATGTGTGCCACCATGTCCAGTTTCAGTAGCCAGCTCAGTGAGCTGGGGCCAGAATGGTATGTAGTACCCGGGATTGAACCCGGGTTCTTGCACTTGCCAGGCAGACGCTTAGGCCACTGAGCTATCTCCCCAGCCCTCATATCCATTCTTAAGATACCCAGGCTGCAACTTCTGAAAGAGTCTGTTGAGGCATCAAAACACTTCTAGGAGAATAACATTAAAAAAAAAAAAAAAAAAAGAACTTTTTGTTGAACTCATAAGTACAGAGATTTGTATCAAAGATTTGATTGGGTTTTTTTTTGTTGTTGTTCTTTGGACATCAAAAAGTAATTTAATATAGACTATTTTCTTTCTAGGTGCTTGACTGGGAAAAAGATTTGTATTAAAATGGGAATCAACAGTATTTGGCTGGGATTTCCCCCCCCCCACCCCCCCCGGCCTCTCTTTATTTGGATGAATCTTACTGAGAATATGTAATTGTAACATTCATGGTTTGACTCCCAGTTAGGGGAGCCTTTCTTCTGGGGCTGGCCAAATAGCTCAGCGGATTAAACCACCTGCTTAGGTAGACACAGAGGCCAGGAGTCTGATCCCCAGGCCTGCTGTGCTGGCCCTGCCCATAGGGCAGGTTGAGATGGCTATTGAGACGGCTATTGAGACTGGGCATGGTGGCGTGCGGCTGTAATCCCAGCACTTGGGAGGCTGTAAACAGGAGAATCACTACAAGTCTGATCTATGCAGTGAGACCCTGTAGACCCTGTAGACCCTGTCCTAAAAATAAATAAATAAATAAATAAATAAATAAATAAAAATAAATCCATAGAGCTGAGTACTTTGGCAGAAATGGGCATCTCACAGGCATGGTAGCCCTGAGTTTCACATATAGATTCACTGAAGGATAACTGATTAAACATAATTAAAATGCACAATCTGGTGAGTATTGAAATGTGAAACTCACTAAACAGTCATCACAGTCACCTACCCACTGCTGTCACCTCCAGTCTCTCCTCCCAGTGGTTCTCAACCCTATGGGAAGAAAGATTTTCTTTCTGAAACAATGTAGTTTGCTATGTTATATGACTCATATACTGGACTCATACACTGTGCTCAGTTTTTACCAAGCTTTTTAGAGTATTTACTTGGAAATTTATTGATATTATTACATTTATCAGTAGTATGTTCCTTTTCTTGCCTACTGTTTTATGGTATGCTCTTTATGGCTTGTAGGGTCTAGATAT